GGTTCTCTTGCAGCAGAATTTCTGGGTCTGGAATAGTTAATGCCTTTTTTGGCAGTCTGTCAAAAGATCGTGGGAAACCAGATTGCTGTTTCTTACATCAGACACCTCTCATGCGTTCTTGTCAGTTCTCATCCACGTGGCGTGGCTGATTCATGGAGAGGAGCTGGAGCACCCAGGATTTCTTGGACAGGCGGTGTCATCTTGTCTGGGTTGAGCTGACTGTGAAAGTTCTCAGTCACACTGAGCTGCATTGCCTTGTTGTTGTTAGTTACCATCAAGTTGGCTCCAACTCCTGGCGACCCCATGTATAACAAGATGAAACATTCCCAGGTCCCATGCTATCTTTATGATCATTGGTTGACTTGAGTCCATTGTTGCAGCCATGGTGTATTTTGGGTGCCTCCCACCCTAGGGGGCGCATCTTCCAGCACTGCATTGGACTGTATTCTATTGTGACCCATGGGGTTTTCATTGGCTAATTTTGGGAAGGAAATCACCAGCCCTTTCTTCTCAGTCTATTTCAGTCCAAAAGCTCTGCTGAAACCTGCTCACAGTTTCAGCACAGTGGGTGTCCCTGCCAGAATTTGAAATATTGAAGGCATAGCTTACCGTATCATAACAACACCAACCTACCACAGTATGACAAACTGACAGAAGAATGGTGGTACATTGTCTTGTTGTTATGTACTGTCAAGTCAGTTCCGACTCATAGCAACCCTCCGTCCAGCAGAATGAAACGCAGCCTGATCCTGCACAATCCTCTCAGTTGTTGCTGTTTGAGCCCATTGTTGCAGCCACTGTGTCAATCCATCTCCTTGAAGGTCTTCCTCTTTTTTCACTCCCCATCTCTACTTTTCCAGGTATTATATCCTCCTCTAGGGACTGGTCCCTCCTTATAACATGTCCAAAATATGGGAGTGTCTCCGTCCTCATTTCTAAGGAGCATTGTGGCTGTAATTCTGAGATAGATTTCTTTGTTCTTCTGGCAGTCCATGGTATATTCAGTATTTTCACCAATACCATAATTCAAATGCATCAGTTCTTCTTCAGTCTCCTTTATTCATTGTCCAGCTTTCATGTGCATATGAGGCAATTGAAAATACTATGACTTGAGTCAGGCACACCTTAGTCCTCAAAGTGACGTCTTAGTGGGAGGTATTGAAAGTAGTGTAATGCAGATATGAATGCTTTTTGGGAAATGGTTCTTCTTTTTAACCTATCTCATGATCCTTGTTACCAACTTTGATTACATCAGCTTATGTGTGTTTAGTTTTATAGCATTTTAATGGACTTTCATCCCTTAAGACCCCTAAATTCATTTCCAGCTGTGTGACCATTACAATTTCATTTCAGTTTCATTTTGGAACTGCTGGGATACTTTCTGAGTGCATCACTCCTTCCTTGTAATAGTGAGCATGTTCAAAGGTGAGAAGGATAAAATCAGTTTCCTGTAGGAGGCATGTCAACAAGTATTTCCAAATGATGCCTCAGAAGCTTGAATGGTTGTCCTCTTAGAATAAGAAATTTGCTTTAAACTCATTGGTAGAATCTGATCCATTGGTTTTTTTTTTTAAAGAAAAACAAGAAACCCCAGAAAAGTCATTTTAAGCATGAACTTCTTTATTCCTCTATTTTGCTTAAGAAATATATTATTTTTAACTTAGACATTTTCTTTCTCAGTTTTTGACTTCATCAAATCTACGTAGAGCCAAAATGAAGGGCCATTCATAATGTTACTTCCTAATAAGTTTCTTAATTGTCCTTTTTGCCCCTTCAGTCTCTGTGACCCCTGCTCTTCTGTCCCTTCCTCTTGCCTCCCACTTAGAAGTTCAAGTGTATCTGGTAGAGGTTGTGTTATCCTATTTGTATCTACTTGAGCAATTTATTAGTTTCTACCAGGTACCTGTATTTTATTCACTAGGCATTTGAGATCCTTGATTATTTTTATGCTTTACATTGGTCTTTGAAAAAGACACTGTCTTAAAATTACTAGTGCTTATCAAAGTTCAACAAGACAGAAAATAACAAATGCTGGCGAGGTTGTGGAGAGATTGGGACTCTCATACACTGCTGGTGGGACTGTAAAATGGTACAACCATTGTGGAAAGCAGTATGGCGATTCCTTCAAAAGTTGGAAATACAAATACCATTTGACCCAGCCATCCCATTACTAGGTATATACCCTAAAGAAGTGAGAGCCATAACAAGAACAGATACATGCACGCCGATGTTCATCGCAGCACTATTTACAATAGCCAAAACTTGGAAACAACCTAGATGTCCAACAACTGAGGAATGGATAACCAAACTTTGGTACATTCACACAATGGAATACTATGCAACGCTAAAGAATAATGTAGAATCTGCAAAACACCGCATAACGTGGATGAACTTGGAGGACATTATGCTGAGTGAAATAAGTCAGTCACAAAAGGACAAATATTGTATTAGTCCGTTATTGTAAAAGTTAAGGAAAGGTTTATCTATTGGAGGACATTTTCTTTGTTGGTTACCAGGGGTGGGAGGGGAGGGAATGCTGTTAGATAGATAGAGATAAATATTGATTTGGGTAAAGAGAAGGGCAATGTACCAAATGTGAGTGACCAGTATAGCAGCATTGAGGATGAGAAAGACAGAGAGAGTTACATGGGCAGTACAAACAACAAATATGAACCCCTTTGCAAATACAATACTGAGTTGTCAATGAAAGCAAACATGGGTATAGGGACGGATAGATGGGTGAACAAGCTAAACAATTATGTATGTCTAAATGGAGAGTGTATCCAAGATCATATACAGGGTTGGCAGACAATGGGCCTCTCAGGGTGCAGAAGAGTATGAAGGGATGGACACTGGGAGGAGGTAACTATGGGGAGGAAGTGGGAGGGGAGCTGCTGCATTGTAAATTTTGGTCAATGACATGAGACAAAGTATATGTGAACTGCTGTATGAAAAGTGAATTTACTCTGTAAATCTTCACCCAAATCCTAATAAAAAAAAAAAAAATTACTAGTGCTACCTTAGGTTCAGGGATGCCAAGGCCATCTTAGTCTGAACTTTGTCTGGAAGTTCTACTGAGGTCTGTTCAGAATCATAACAGCACACAAGCCACCACTGTGCATGAGGTGCAGCGACCAGAGATTGGACAAGAGTTCTGTTACTGTACCACCAGTGCTCTCAGCTTTATTTTTACAGCATGGATAAAAGTTACTGAGCTCTGACCACGAACCAGGCATTCAGGACAATACCAAGAAGAGTAGGATCGGGTCTGTGTCCTGGAATGGGTCTAGCAGGGAACCTGATTACAGGCACAACTGGTTGTAACGTAAGTAGAGTGAGACAAATGCAGTAATGAAAGCAAACTCATGGTATAGTCTAGTGGTTAAGACTATAGGCTTCAAGGCAGACCTGCGCTCAGAGCCTAATCCTGTCCCTCATTGGCTGTATGCTGTACATGTTGTCAACTTTTCTGAATCTTAATTTCTTTATCTGTAAACCAAAGATACTTGACAGGCTTGCTGTGAAGATGAAATGAACCAATGTCTAGCACAATGCTGTCCAATAAAAGTATAATGTAAATCACATATGAAATTAAAAATTTTCTAGTAGACACATTGAAAAAAGGTAAAAAGAAACAGGTGATATTAATTTTAATAAAGTTATTTAAGTGACATTCAAAATATTACCATTTCAATATGTAATCTATATAAAAGTACTAACGAGACACTTGACATACTCTGTTTTCATATGTCTTCGAAATCTAAGGTGTATTTTATACTTACAGCGCTTCTCCATTTGTGCTAGCCACATTTCAAGTGTTCAACAGAGCAGGTCTAAAAAATACTTAGCATCCTGCCTTGCACAGAGTACATCCTGAATATATGTCATTGAAAGAGCCCTGGTGGAACAGTGGTTAAATGCTTGACTGCTAACAGAAAGGTCAGCAGTTTGAACCCATCAGTTGCTCCACAGGAGAAAGATGTGGCAGTCTGCTTCTATAAAGGTACAGCTAGGAAACCATATGGGGCAATTCTACTCTGTCCTGTAGGGTTGCATATACAGGTAGGGTATATGTCATTGTCATCATCATCATCATTACTATTTCAAAGTAAGCACTAATGTAAAAGTTACTAAGAAAATAGGGTTAATGTCATTTAACAGCAAAATTTCCAGAAATACATTCGTTCTTCATTTTCTCTGCCATTCTAAGATCACAAACAGATCAAAGTAAAGGAGAGAAAAAAGTCAAACTCCCCTTTACCCCCTAGCAAATCAAACAATCTTTCTGTTTCCTAGTCCTTCCAGTCTTTGTTTGTATGGGTGACTTTCGTTTATTGTAATGGAAGTCTATGCATCTGTGCTGGTGGATTGCGTTCATTCTAGAGTGCCTTCACTGGCAAGTTTATATTACCACTGAGAATAAGTGTAGCTAATGAGCTCTGGTAGCGTAGTGCCTAAAGCACTTGACTGTTAACCAGAAGGCTGGTGGTTCAAACCCACCAGCCACTCCTTGGAAGGAAAGTTGGGCAATCTACTTCTGTAGTGATACCACCTCGGAAGCCCAAGGAGGGGTCACTATGAGTCGGGTCGGACTCGACGGCACATAGCAACAATGGCAGATGTTAATGAGTAGACTCTAGAAGCCTAATCATAGTAGATCCCATGCAGAAGGTTGTTCAAGAGCTACTGCCGTTCTGGAGCAAGTCCTCACGCTTCCTAGAGCACCAAATTTGCTTCTTATAAATGTGGTTGATCTTGGGGCTCTAGGTTCTTTGTTAAAAGGATTTCTAAGTTCTTTGGTGGCTTGAGATATGAAAGAGGATCTGATGAAGACCTGACATTGAGTTGCATTCTGCCCCTTGACAAAGCTCTTGATGCTCATTACCTTGATTCTCACAACCACACAATCCTTCTGGGGAGGTGGGTGAGTGACATCCATTTCCCTCTGGGTGTGTTTCACTTCCCCCTGCCTCACTCCTCTGTTCTCTGTCTCCTGGCAGGCTTGGGGACCAGTTCTACAAGGAAGCCATTGAGCACTGCCGGAGTTATAACTCACGGCTGTGCGCAGAGCGCAGTGTGCGCCTTCCCTTCTTGGACTCTCAGACAGGGGTTGCCCAGAACAACTGCTACATCTGGATGGAGAAGAGGCACCGAGGCCCAGGTGAGCTATGTCACCCCTGGGACCTGCACATGTTTGGGCTTCCAGTCTGGATAGAGGAGGACCAAGGCTCGTCAGGGATCCACATAGCTGGGGTGTACGTTATGAGGCAAGCTGCTACACAGGAGCCTGGAGATACTTTCAAGAAGTTCAGGAACACTCCTGAAAAGTGTTCCAGGGGAAGAAGCAGGAGTATGTGGAACATTGAAGCTATGTCACTGGGTTGAGTGAAAGAGTTGAGGTTGTTTAGCCCAGACGAGAGAGGAGAGGACGTGATACCAATCTTCATCCTTTACCCTTGAGTGTTGGTGTAACCTAATTTTTATCGCTAGAGATCTGCAGTCAGGTCTGCTTGACATTCTTACTAAAAACTTCACCCCCTTAGGTTTCTTATCTGTAAAATGGGGATAATAGCACTTACTTCATAGGATTTTGTTTGGATTAAATGAAGATATTCATAAAGCATTTATACTAAGATTTACCATATAGTAAGTAAGTGTTCTAAAGGTTTTGTCTGTTATCATTGCTATCTATGATTATTACTACTGTTATCTTGACCTGATTTTCTAGGTTCCTGAGGACAGAACAAAAACCAATGATGGAGATAAGAGCAGCATCTATAAGAATGTAGCTTTCTGATTCCATATAGGTATATTTAGAAAATCTTTTCATTATGAAAAATTTCAAACCCATATAAAAGTGGAGAGAATAGTAAAGTGAATCTCCACATTTTTATTACCCAGACTCAGCAATGATTAACTCATGACCAATCTTGTTTCATCTATAGCCACATCCCATTTTTCTCTCTGACCCTACACTATTTTGAAGTACAGTCATGTGTTGCTTAAAGTCCATGATATGTCTGTAAAGTAGGATGTTATATGATTTGGACATTGTATGAACACCATATTATATACAGGTAGTCCCAGTATTACAAACAAGCTACTTTCCTAAATTTGTCTTTAAGTCGAATTTGTACATAAATTGGAATAGTCAGGTATGGTTCAAATCTGACATCAATTAGTCAAATATATGTCTTAGTATATAGTGTACCTTTCCATACATAAAAACATTAAAGAAACTTTAAGATACACTAACCATCTTCAACATAATAATGCAGTAATAATGATAATATTTCATGTCACAAAGTAGCACTTGTTTGTTATTATGAACCATTATATGTATCTTGAATATTTGATATAATAGGCTTTATGAGAATTGGAACAACAGACATGTATATGGTTGGAGTTTGCTTGAGCACATGTTATGTGGCATATGACTGTAGATCTAAGACAGTGTATTATTTCATCTGTAAATGTTACAGTAAAGACTTAACAAAAAATTCCAACAACCCACAACCACCATCAAGGCTCAAAAACTTAACAATAAGACTTTAATGTCATCAAATATTTGGTCAACATTCATCTCCCCAGTAGTTTGTTAGGTTAGGGTCCAGATATGGTTCCTACATTGCAGTTGGTTGATGTGTTTCCTGTTGCTGTTGTTAGGTGCTGTCAAATCAGCTCCAATTCGTAGCAAGCTTATGTAGAACAGAACAAAACCCTACCCACTCCTGTGCCAGCCCCACAATCCTTGCCATACTTTAGCCCATTGTTGCAGCCACTGTGTCAGTACATCTTGTTGAGGGCCTTCCTGTTTTCCTTTTTTTTTTTTTTTAATTAATTTATTTATTTATTGTGCTTTGGGTGCAAATTTACAAAGCAAATTTGTTCTACATTCAACACTTCATGCACATTTGATTCCATGGCTCTGATTACCAACCCCAACCATAAAAACTCTCCTTCCCTCCCCTCCCTGTGATTACCCCCTTCCTGTACCCTTCCTAACTATGCATTCCTGTCTGTTCAGCTTTCTCTCTATGTGAATTCTGCCTCTCTGGTGTCTCATTGCTGATTGATGTGAGGGGTGGGTATTCCTAGAGTAGGTAGATGCACTGCCCTGGGGTAGATGTTCTGCATGTAGGTCTTTATACTATTGGGCTGAGAGCCAATCCATGGAAGTGAGTCCATTTCAAGGCCTGAAGGCTAACCCGGGGTCATAGTCACCGAGGTTCCACCAGTCTCTATCTGACCAGTAATTCTGGTCATTTTTGTGTTTTTCAATTGTGTTCCACATTTTTCCTCCCACTTTATCCAGGATCTCTAGTGGTTGATATTGGTAGCCGGGCACCATCTAGTTCTTCTGGTCTCAGGGTCATGAAGGCTGAGGTCCTCGTGGTCAGTCTTATTCCCTTTTTCATTGACCTTGTACTTTACAGGAGCTCTGGTAGTATAGTGCCTAAGGCACTTGACTGCTAACCAGAAGCCTGGAGGTTCAAACCCGCCAGCCACTCCTCGGAATGAAGATGGGGCAATCTTTTCCTTAGTGATACCACCTTGGAAAACCAAGGAAGGGTTGCTATGAGTCGGATCCGACTTCACAGCAGTGAATTTTCCACTTTACCAAGCATGACATCCTTCTCCAGGGAATGGTCCCATCTGACAACATGACCAAAGTAGGTGAGACGAAGTCTGGCCATTCTT